CCCAATATATATATATATATATATATATATATATATATTTGTTTGTGTGTGTATGTGTGTGTGTGTGAATGTATGCCGAAGAAAATATGTGGCACTGAGCGTATATATATGCGTATAAATGTAAGGTAAACATGCTTGTATCTATGTACATACGGATACATTAGTTTGTATGTATATGAAATTATGGTGAAAAGTTCTCGACCCCACCAAGAAACCTTTTGCCTTAAAATTTCTTTTAAAATGTTTGAAAATTGGGTCCGACAGATAAGTTTTAAGCACCTACTTGTGTGTGTCTGTCTCTGTGTGTGTGTGTGTGTGTGTACATGTGTGTCTGCATGTGTACATGTGTGTGTGTGTGTGTGTCTCTGTCTTATCTATTATTTAATTAGTATGCCTAAAATCTTAAAACCTCACAAAACAAATTCGTAAATTCGCAAAGTCTTAGCTTGCTGTCGTCGATTGTGATAATTACGTATTCTACTATTGATACCAGTCATGAGAGTTCTCACCCAGGTAACCATTAGGAATTCGAATGCTGATTTTCAAGCCACCCAGCCGTCTCCGCCGATCGTTAGACTCTTGTGCTTCTCTCTCCGCTTACCATACACAACAAAAAAAAGCATGCGTGCTTTCGTAAGTGTCCTTCGTTCTTTCTTTTTAACTGGTTGAACGGACCCGCTTAAAAACAGATGCGCTAACAGGCGAACACGACTCTATATTCTCTTAGATGCACGCTCAGGCAACACGTGTAAATGTATACACGGACACATGCATCCACTTTCATCTTACTAAAGAAAAAAAAACAATAAAGGCGTATCTACTTGAAAGTATGCCCGTATATATTTATTTGTTCAGACATACTTTCATTCAGACGCATGTAGTCATTCACAAATACTGAATAACAATTGTTTTAGTACTATAAAAGCTATTTTAAAATATGACCAAGTGCATATACATATGCACATAGTTTTCAGCAAGGGCAAGGTATATTTATTTTGGCATACTGATACATATATGAGAGACGTTTTCACAAGGCATGGGTTCTCATAAAAAGGCCAGATATCTTAACTGTCTGAGAAGCAAGTCGTTTAGTTACGTACTATGCCACTTACAGTCAGATAGATTAGTCTAATTGGTAAAAAAATCATTCACAACCGTTAGCTTATTCCTTAGAATTGTATATAATATGGACATTTTCCAATGCTTGTGCGCGCACACACA